AAAATATAAATTCCAAATATAAGATAAAATATAATATTTAAAAATAGAAACATGATAATAAATATAGTAATATATAAAATAAAAATAGGGATATTTATAAAATATATAAAAATTATAATAAAATATAATTTTGCATAACTAAGAAAAGATTAAGAAATTAAGAAATTTTATGTTACTATGATAATAATATATATCATAATACAAAATAAATAAATAAAGTTAATAATCAGAATCAGGATATTTAATTTTTTTTAAAAATAATACTAATTGATATATTCGATTTTCAGAAAATCAAAAAAGCTTGACCAGATATTTTTGATAGAATAGTATATATACTTTATAAATAATCTTAAATTTACAATAAAGATAAAAGTAAATTATTAAGTATTAAAAATAAAAGTTAATTATTAAATATTAAAAAAAGTTTATAAATTATTTATTTATAATAATATAATTATATATAAATAAGAAAAATTTATAACTATTCATAATAAATATAATAATAATTCTTTATATTAATATTAAAATAAAAATTATCAAATTAATTAATCTATATTAATAGAATTAGATTAAGTAAAAAGTTTTTATAAAAAAAATAATAATTTAAAAATATATATTATAATTATAAAAATCAAAATATTTTATAAAGAATTATTATTTAAAATCAAAAATAATATTAAAAATATTCAAAAAAGAAATATTATATCAGAAAAAAAATTAAATTTATTTATCTAAAAGATAACTATGAAAAATTATAAAATTTAATAATTAAGTAAATAATAAATTAATTTAAATATTACTTGATAGTAAAATATCAAGAAATTTTATTGATAAAAGCTTTATATAAAAAAATAAAGACAAAATTTAAAAAATTAATTCAATTATAGTTAAACTTATAAATAATAAGAAATAAATTATTATTATTATGATAAAGATTAATTAAATATATATTATATAAATAAGATGAATACTTAAGTATTAAAATTGATTTAATTTTTGATAAATCTTAATTATTTAATATTAACTTAATTATAAATTAGAGAAATAATAATATTATTTTATTTATAAATTTAAACTTATTAAAATTCAAATCAATATTAAATATAAAACTGAATTAAGTTATAATTTAATTTATATCTCTAGATAATAAATAATAAATTTATTAATAGATATAGAATTCTTTATTATTTATCTTAAAAATTTAAAGAAAAATTATTTATATTAGAAGTATTTGAATTAATTTTAGCTTAATCCTGATTTAGCTTTTATATTAGCTTGTATTACTTTAATTTATAATTGAATTACTATGAAATAATCAAGATTTATCAAGAATTAAATCATATTTTTGCAATTTTCATACTTGAATATTCATCTTATATATATATATAATAAATATCTAATTTCAACTTATTAATATTTAATAATGATAATCAATTTTTTTTATTAGTAAGTTTGATTATAATAGAATTGATTTTCTGTATCTTGATTTTATTCTTTTGCACAAAGTTTTTATCAATAAAATTTCTTGATATTCTACTATCTAATAATATTCAGGCTGGCTTGTTATTTACTTGACTATTAAATTTAAGTAGTCTCTTAGTTATTTTCTAGGTATGCAAATTCAATTCTTTTACTTTGACAAGATATTTCTTCTTGAGAATCTTTTATATTAGCAATTTTGCTTTTTAATTTGAAATAATAATTCTTTACAAAGTGTTCTGATTTCTTACAATGATAATATATATCTTTGAATTTATTATTCTTCTAATTCTTATAAGAACTTTTACTCCACATCGTTTAATATTTATTTATATTTTTTATTTTCGCATGATTTAGTATTTGTTAAATATCAAACTTAACATCTGCTATTAGTACCCATCCAAGCTCACAATAATTAGAATAGTTCTAAAAATTGTATAAATAGAAGAATCTAGCACAGTTAAAAAGCATGTTCAAATAAATTAATATTAAATAAAATTAAAATAAAAATTATAAAATAAAATAGGATTATTAATAAATATCAAATAAAATCAAATAAAATACAAAATTAAATTGTTGATTTCTTATCTGAATAATCAAATGTGAAAAAAGATGATAAAAAGTCTAATAACAATTAATCATCTTAATTTTTATAGATCAATTATTACATGAATAGTGTTGCTGTAGCATAGAAAAACCCTGAGATTAACGATTTTATGAAACCAACCCGTGATCCATAGAAACTCCGTGATTCCAATGTGTCTGACGACTTGTGATATTAAATTAGCATTGTTGTTGCTTCTCCTAACCACCCGGATTCTCCCTAAATATTCCTTATCGACGTCTCCAAGAACGTGAACATTGCAACAAATCACAAACAAACATACCGTTATGTTGTCTTTTAATCCAAAGAAATTCTCTCGAAATTCTTATAACATTCATACTTTAGTGTTTATTACTAATTCACTTATAACAATTGATATTTGATAACAATTAATTCTTAATTTTTAATTCGTAATAATAATGAAGTTACACCCCTTTTGCATATTTTGCACGTGAAGACTCGTAATCTAGACCTATAGAATAGCAAGTAGTCAGAACAAGAACAAAAATGTATAAAAGAATAGCTTTCGCAAAGAGGAGTGACAAGTTTTGTATGGTTTGAAGAAAAATAAATAAAATTAATTATTTTTAAATCTTACTTAACATAGCTTCGGATTTATCGCTTTTGTGCCTTAATAAATCGATAGCTTTATTCTCTTGTGCTTAACAATTGAAGACTTTGCTGCCTTGGCCATACAAAGTTGAAGAATCACGTTCTATTCTAAGTTTCGTTTAATACTCTTTGAGTAATAATTATTCTTTTGTCTAGTTGATATATGAATTTTAATAGTAAATTAGTATAGTTATTTGATCATTTGAAATTTAAGTTATATTTGTTAGTGATTGAACTTTACTTTGCGCTCTTGAACTAAGTTAACAATTCATACTTTACAATATCTGTGTAGTTTAGCGCAGGAGACCTTTAGAACCTTAGTGATTTCCCACTCTACATAAATCATTCAATCTAGCTCTCATTTCTTGTTACATTTGCAATTCCTTAGTCCAACTAATTTTTGAGTTGTGCGTAACAATAAAAGATGAATAACTACAGAAATTGAAATTTCGCATACTTATCGATCAATCTAAATTGTGCTTTAGACACCATCTTTAATATTATTACTTCATGCAATAGTTGTCTTAGCTAACTTTAATGCCACCTCTTTATTCAAAACAGGTTTGTACATTTCACCAAATCCTCTCTTGCCAATTTTCTCAATATTAGCAATTTCAAATGTCTTTACTTACTAAATTCTTCCAAAATAATCTGACTTCATTCCCATAGCCGGTTGAAATAAATTCTAATAGAGAACTTTGCCGCAACCGAAATTGTAACTATAATGTAGTATTTTATTTATTTATATTTATTTAGTAAAACTCGAAAATATTCATTGAAAATTTTTTAACGAATAATAGAAGACTTTGATAATCTCGATAATGATCATTACAAGATATCGAAATTTATGCATTTTTTATCGCGTTGTTTATCATAAAAAATAAACACAAAAATTCTTATAAATACTTTACTTTCCCCCACCCTTCTAAGAGTTAACTAATTTGCTATTTATAATGATAAAAACAGGTGTTAAGGGTTTGAAAGTGTATTATTTAACAAGTAAAACCAAGTGTGCAGTTAACGCCTGACCTGATTGCCAGATATCAAACGCATCAATTAATGAGAGAGTTTGAAAGTGTTCGTCACAAGTATGATTCTCTATGATAAAAACAGGTGTTAAGGGTTTGAAAGCGTGCGTCGCAAGTAAAACCAAGTGTGCAGTTAACGCCTGACCTGATTGCCAGATATCAAACGCATCAATTAATGAGAGAGTTTGAAAGTGTTCGTCACAAGTATGATTCTCTATGATAAAAACAGGTGTTAAGGGTTTGAAAGCGTGCGTCGCAAGTAAAACCAAGTGTGCAGTTAACGCCT